AGATAGATAGATAGATAGATAGATAGATAGATAGATAGATAGATAGATAGATAGATAGATAGATAGATAGATAGATAGATAGATAGATAGATAGATAGATAGATAGATAGATAGAGTGCCTAAACCTCTCTGAGCAGTTTACAATTCAATTATGCAGGCTACACATTGCCGCACAAGCTGGGTATTCAGTTTACTGACCCCAGAAAAATGAAATCAACCATGAGCTGGCTACCTGAGCCTGGGATCGAGCTCAGGTCATGAGCAGAGTCTTCGCTGCAGTACTGCAGTTTAAAGCCACTGTGCCACGAAACATTTTATAAGAAAAAAAATGAGACTTTTTTTTTAAAAAAAGAACAACTCTTTCAAGTCAGTTCATTGCATGTACATAAATTTTCAACATGTTGCTTCAACATGCATGATACTTCCCAGTCCAATAGCCTCGGTTAAAAATAGGAAAATAGTAAGGCAAGATAGTACTTTCCTTTATGAGTTCTTTTGCACAAAATGGAGGGAATTAGATGGAGAAATTAAATCTTTTCACTGACAGCACATTTGAACTTTGTGCCATCTTCTTTGGATTCACCAGGGACTAATGACAATGTTTTACCAAAGAGATGAGAGAAAGTGATGCAAGGACAGGTTTTGAGAGTGTCCGACAATAGGTTATTGGCTGTGGTTCCTCTTCGCCTTGTGACATTAGTTTGGTCTTTGTATTTCTACATTAAAATTTTCAAAGATACTTAGAGATAAAATCAAAAGAACAACCTACTGCAATTCTTTGATGTTCTGTGGTCTTTCAGATCTGATGTCGGTGAATGAAAGAACATATTATCCTGCATATGAGTGTTTTGATCTTGTTTGTTGACAAATAACATTCTATTTGTGAAAGCTGAAGAGTATTATGGTTTTCTCCTTTTTAGTACAGTGGTGCTTTGCTTAACAATGTTAATTCGTTCCAGCAAAATCGCTGTAGAGTGAAAATGTCGTAAAGCGAAATTAAAAAACCCATTGAAACACATTAAAACCCCTATTAATGCGTTCGAATGGGCTAAAAACTCACCGTACAGCGAAGATCCTCCATACGGCGGCCATTTTCAGTGCCTGTATAGTGAGGAATCCATCCCTAAGCACCAGCGGAGAGCCATTTTGAGCACCTGGTGGCCATTTTTAAAACCCCACAATCAGCTGTTGTCGATCATCGTAATGCGAAGAATAGGTTCCCTATTAATGCGTTCGAATGGGCTAAAAACTCACCGTACAGCGAAGATCCTCCATACGGCGGCCATTTTCAGTGCCTGTATAGTGAGGAATCCATCCCTAAGCACCAGCGGAGAGCCATTTTGAGCACCTGGTGGCCATTTTTAAAACCCCACAATCAGCTGTTGTCGATCATCGTAATGCGAAGAATAGGTTCCCGAAGCAGGGAGCCGATCTATGCAAAACAAAAAAAACCTATTTAGACCATCGTTTGCGATCGCAATTGCGATCGCAAAAACATCGTCGTGAAGCAGATTCGTCATAATGTGGGTAATTGTTAAGAGGGGCACAACTGTACAGTGATATTCTTCAGTAAAGTGATTTTTTGTAAATTTCCCCTAAACCTTTCAAACTGTGCATAACTTTAAAATAAAGTAATGTTTAATACCCAACTTCACATTGTCCAATGAAATTTACAAGTGTTTTTATCACAGTATTTTGTGAAGAGCATTCTTGTATTTGATTGAAGTGTCACTCATAGCATCTTAGATAAATCAGTTTGATGACAAGAACTGTAACATGAACAGAGGGGTCAGTTTTAGTTATATTTCAGACACTTCCTAACAACTGTGTTTTCAGATTCTTTCTAACAGCTGTGCCAGAAGTAGGAGAGGACTGGAAGTGTGTGAGCCTGAAATAGGAGGAAGGTCATGTCAAAGGGACATGGTGGCATTGCAGGTTAAACCACAGAAGCCTCTGTGCTGCAGGGTCACAAGACCAGCAGTCATAAGATCAAATCCACATGACGGAGTGAGCTCCTGTTACTCATGCCAGCTCCTGCCAACCTAGCAGTTGGAAAGCATGTAAAAATGCAAGTAGATAAATATGTACCACCTTGGTTGGAAGGTAACGGTGTTCCGTGTCCAGTCGCGCTGGCCACGTGACCACAGAAACTGTTTTTGGACAAACGCTGGCTCTATGGCTTGAAAATGGGGATGAGCACCGCGCCCTAGAGTCGGACACGACTGGACTAAATGTCAAGGGTAACCTTTACCATGTCA